ACCAGACCAGAGAAATTGTATTGTTCTCAGAAATGAAATGAAATGAAATACTACTTCAGTTTGGGATAAAGTTAGCTCAGCTCGGCTGGAATAACTAATTAATTGCATATATTCAAAGTTTCTTTGGTGAAGTATATGCATAAATCCAAGCAATATCACAATGCTTCTGCAAAAGAATTCCCAGAATTAGACAACTAATTTATTGATTGATCGATCAGATAAATACAGTTCTTGAACTGAACAGCTTTCTTCAAATTCTTAGGGCACCCGATGAGGCAATACACCTTGCTTCAATGCAGCACCATAGACAATGCACGCTCCCGAAGATCTTTCCTGTTGGTTTAGCTTCTTAATCAGAATGTCATAGGATGTTCTACTTGGGATCTTGCCCTGTTCATTCATGAGAAGCACGACCAGTAATGCATCGTCTACCTTCCCCTCGTGGCAAAATGCTTGAATCACATTATTAAAGGTAATCGTCCGGGGAACATACCCCATTCTAACCATATGCTGCAGATGGATCAAAGCCTCATCAGTTTTCTTTCCCACACAAAGAGCTCTAATTACCATGCCATAGGTACCAGGGTCCATGATGAAATTCATTTTCTCAAACACTTGATAGGCATCTTCCAACAAGTCTTTTTCTTCCCATGATTTCATGCATAAACCTCTAAGCAAAGTGTTCATCATCCTCTCATCAACTTCAATCCCAAAATCAACCATTTGCTTAAAAGTAATCAGTGCTGCCCTTGTTTCTCCCCATCTCAATAGCCCATGTAACAAGGTGCTATAACTAATATAGTCAGGAACACAATTCCTCTCCTTCATAAGCTTCAACACACTAATACCCTCCATTGGCCTGCCCTCCTTACAATACCCATTAAAAAGAGTGTTAAAAGTGGCCACACTTGGTTTCAATCCCCTCTCCACAGCTTCATTAAGCAGCTCCATTGCCTCATTAGACCTACCCACTTTACAAAAACCATCCATAACAATTGTGTATGAATAAATATCAGGTTTTATCAAACCCTTCTTAATATTCACCAACATTTCATATGCTTCCTCCACCCTTCCCACATAACACAAACCCTTTATCAAACAATTATAAGTCTGAATACTAGGTTTGCACCCAACTCTACCCATTACTTCAAAAACCTCAAAAGCTTTCTGCAACCTGCCACTTGTGCATAATGAGTTTATAAAAATGGTGAAAGTTGCAACATTTGGACAAAACCCTTTCTCAACCATGTAGTTTAGAACCTGTCCTGCTTCAACCAGATTGTTTTTCTTGCAATGACACCTCAGCATGATGGAAAATGTCCAAGAATCTGGCGCCAACCCATAAGATGGTATTTCAGAGTAAAGTTTCAAAGCAATTTCTAGCTCATTTGCTGTCACTAAAGCCATAAGCAAATCATTAAAGTCGGATATGGTCCAGTTTCTACCGTCTCTTTTGATGCAACTAAAGATATCAGTTTTATCTTTGATTGCATCCATGAACTTCTGCGCTTGCAATCCATGAGGAATCTCTTTAAAGTCCAAGCTTTCTTGTTCTTCTTTGATTCTAAAGCCATTTTGCTTATCAAAGTTTGAGCATAAACTATAAAAACTGAGGGTACGTAATTGTTTCTGTACTGTAGATAATGACTCAGTTGCAAAGACAAGAAGCTTGACTGGCTGAAATTTGTTGTGGTTCTGGTTTCTTACAGAGGTGTTGGTGAAGACAAAGGAAGTGCCAAGCCAAGTAGATTGAAGAGATTGTGAAGTCGGAGAATATGGAAAAGGCATTATTCCGATCAGACTCAATTCTATACAAACCCTTCAACATTTGTCTCCGGAAATATGAGTGAGCTGAATTTGCTCATTTGTTTTGTTCTTAACATTAGTCAAGAGTAGAGGCTCTCTTATCCTCTGGCTATAGATGCTAAGCGCAGCGGTCCGTTTGCTATATCGTTAGACGACAAGACGTTCATTTCTTAATGCACTGTACGACCAATCGGTCATCCCTTAAAAAAGGTATTCTCAATTAATCATTTTAGCAAGTTAATTGTCCCCAAATTAAAAAAAAAAAAAAAAATTGCAATAATTACAATAATTAACTTCGTTGAAAATAAAAAAACCCCTCAAACTATAAGAGAGCCCCTAGGGGTGGTCGGAAGGGACGATACAGACTCTTGAATATATTAGTCAAGAGATATTCGGTTCAATTCTCTTTGACAGTTAATAGAGATGGTCACTAGAAGATTTATCCAATCGATAATGTCAAACTTTGAGAAAATTTCAGGGTCTAAAAAGATTAATCGAGATACACGTAAGCTGATTCGGACACCTCTCGTGATAAAAAATAAAAAAAAGCTAAATTCTTTTAATAAACCAAATAAAAAACCTTATTTATGAATCAAAATATACAAATATAGTTTGATCAATTACATTATTCCTAAAAACAAAATGTACGGAAATATAGTATGAGAATTATCTGAATGCCCAGATAATGATCTTCAAAAACTATTCAGAGGCGTAGAGATCTACTGAAGGCCTTCAAATACTTGGGATTTTTGGGGTCCGGCACTTCCTTTCTTCCTCCATTCTTGTTACTACATCCCTTCTTAATAACAAACGATTTCAGCATTTTCTTCAAAACCTTGCCGAAACCAGACACACCACGACGGCGCCCTTTTACTCCCACCTGTGTCTGCGCCTTTGGTGCGATGTCCGATGGAGGCAACGGTGCTGGCAATTTGGCCCCACCGACACTTGGCTCGGAGAAGCTCCGGCGAAGAATGGCTTTGTTAAGCTGCACTTCAAATGAAAGCCTCTCAAACTGATCCAACAACGCGCTTTGCTCATCTCCAAACCTCCTCAAAACAACTGCTATTTCGTCCATGCCGCTCTTGCTGCTTTTGTTTTTGTTTTCACTTGGTAAAGTGAAAGCCATTCTCATATACGCTTTGCTTCTTCTACAAGTGAAAGTGTGAGGTGAAAGATTAAGAATTCTTTTTATGATTATTCTCTGACTGTGTGCTTGGCTTAAAGAAGCGAGCTTGAGTTTGGGAGCTGGAAAGACCCTTCTGTTTCAGTATTGCAGTAGCAGTAACCCAGTTGTTTCAAACAATAAATAAGCAACAACAATCTCCATCAATTCACTGCATGGACTTTCTTTTTGCGGAATTTTCAAGGTTAAAGATGATTTATTTAAGCCAAACTTTAGATTTGGTTACCACTTTATGCTTTCTTGCTAGGGACATACTATGTTTTATTCCCTAACATTTGCTCTCCTTTTTTGAGAGCCTTATCTCATACAAAAGTTATACATTATGTGTTTTTTACTATTGCTTTCCATTTTGTCAAAAGATTTGGTAGCATTCATTGACCCCCACGCATAACAATAATTTTTTTCTTTTTAATCAAGGTGTTCGGGTCTGTTTATGCGCATCTTGACTAATCTTTAAGAGAGATTAGTGCAATAACTTACCGTCGAACACATTGACTAATCCTCGAGAGAGACTAGCACAATAACCCATCATCGAACACCGAAAGACTAGCACAATAACCTATCGCTAGACACTTTGACTAATTTTCGGGGGAGATTAGCGTCATAACCCACCATCAGACACCTTGACTAATCATCGAGAGAGACCAGCGCAACAACCTACAGTCATAGTCCCCAACTTAAATCGCGGATACTTAGATGAAAAATCGAACCTAAGACTGTGCACACATTCACACTATCCATGATTCGCCTTAATCATCTAGACTACCCACAAATATATCAACAAAATCTTCCTATCCTCAAAACTTATGGCTCTATTTGGTACATAGTTTGGGAAAACTAGAATAGTTTTCCCAATAAAGTTAAATAAAAAATTTGTCTTTGGTTCACGTATTCTCAAAATATTATTCTATATTATTTAATTTCTTTTAAACCCCATAAATTTGTAATTTAACTAAACAACCCAAAAAAAATTTAAAAATTGACAAAAACACCCCAGCAACCCACATTTACCAGATTCTAGCCACCATTGCTAGACGCTGACTAAAATCTAGTGTAATGGCGCACTACCTGCTGAATCTAGCTAGTAGTGCGCCGATCTTTGGCTGTAGGCAGTCGTCAACGACGGCCAAGATATGGTCGTTGTTGACCATCAACAACGGTTGTATCTTTGACCATCGTTGAAGATGAAATGCGGCCAAATCGGCCTTTTCCGGCCAGATCCACCGTGGATCTGGCCGAAAAATGCCATATCAGTGCACGACTGACAAAATCCAGTCAATCATACGCTAATATGGCAACTCCGACCACCCTCCAGCGGTGGTGGCCGACTGTCTGTATTTAATGGGTGGGTTATGGGTGTTTTTGTTAACTTTTAATATTTTATTATATGGTGTTTAGTAAATAAACAAACATAGGAAGTATTTTTGTTAATTTTTAAATTTTACAACGTAATAACCAACCAATTTAACTTTTTTCATAATATTATTTTAAAAACTATATAATAAACCAAACCGACCCTACATAAAATAACTATTTATCAAATTATCTTTTTACTGTTCATTTTATTAATCAAACCTTAGGGGTCAATTCATTAACTATTAAGGATAATAATTAAATACTTTCTAGAAATTAATGATAGGTGTTTTCCTTTTCAAAAAATACTAATAACATTTGATAGATATTTTAATTAATTTTTTACACTATTTATGCCTTGAATTACATTAAAAAATAAATATGTCTACACCATTCCCAAGACCATTAAAATTAAGAGGATGACTTATAAATTGTATTGAAAAGATTAAAGTAAGAATAAAAAAAAAAATTATTGAGATCCCTTTTCTATTTTATTTATACATATTAGGGCTTAAAATTTGTAGATGGGCCTGAAGCCCAGACCATGAATAGGCCCAATGCGACAGAATCGGGCCAATTTTTACACCCACAGGCCCATGAAATTTCCCCGCGTAAACCCTAGATTATCCATTTTCTGCCCTGGTTCAATTTCAACTGAAAATAGAACAGACTGAGCCCTAAAATTTGGTCTATTTTTTAATTATTATTTTACTTATTTGATCTATTCTATTTAGCTGCGTCAACTCAAAGCTCAGATGAATCTGAGTCTGTCCGACGGATTCTAATTTCGCTGGAAGATGAGTTTCTGTGATCTCTTCCTGGGATCGAGAATTGCTACAATTTCTAGAGATTTGATTTCCGCGGATCTAAATAGAAGAGTTTGTTGAAGTTGAATTGTAATGGATAAAAATATAATTCTAGCAGTGTTTTTATTGTTTTTCGTTGTTGCTGATGTTTCCAATGCTAAATTTCGCCACTTAGCTGCGGTCGATCCGAACAATAATTCAGCTACAACTCAGGTAAGAATTTTTGTTTTTTGTTTTTTGTCTTTTTGTTTTTGTTTTTGATAACAAAACGACGTAATTGAATTGCGTTTTTTATGTATTGTGTTAGGTTTCGGGTGCTAATAAACCGGTTGAAGCTGGGAATAAGAAGAAGCCAGAGGCAGTGGGCAGTTCATCACAGTTGGATTCAAAAGAGTTGAATAAAAGGGATTTGGTGAGTCCACCTCCCCCTAATGAAACAACTGATAATAGTAAAAGTTCTAATACTGCGGATTCAGTGAATCCAAATGTCCAAAACAAAACTAGTGATAACCCAAATGGTTCCAATAATACGGATAATTCTAAGAATTCTAATGTAAAGGATTCTTCAATGAGTCATCCTGATAAGGAAAAGAGTATGAACAATTCTAGTGATACGGCTGTGAGTACTCAAGTTAAAGGAACGGACAATGGGAAGAATGGGGGAATGGATCGTGAGAAGAATGGAGGAACAGATAACAGGAAGAAGGATGGAACAGATAGTAGTAAGGATGTAACAGATAACGGGAAGAAGGATGGAACAGATGGTGGTAAGGACGTAACAGACAGTGGGAAGAAGGATGAAACAGATAGTGGCAAGAAGGACGGAACAGATAGTGGCAAGAAGGGTGGAACAGATAGTGGCAAGAAGGACGGAACAGATAGTGGGAAGGAGGGAACCGATAGTGGGAAGGACGAAACAGATAGTGGGAAGAAGGACAAAACGAAAGAGAATAATAATGAGGATAAAAGGGATTCAGAGTCTGGGGTTGATGAAACTTGTTTGGGGTTACCTAACCGGTGCAGTGACATGTCTGGCCTGATCGCCTGTATTAAGAGTTTTGACACTGGTAATTCATATTGGTTTTTGGCCTTTTTGAAATTGTTTTATTAGTTCTTGCAACTTACTGGTCTTTTATTTCCTTCGGCTAAAATGTTTGCTGGTGATGGATCTATCGAATTGAAGTGCTTTAGAATGTGTGATTGTTTTCATTTAAGAGATTATGCAATTACTGGAACTGCTTTTATAGTATTTGATTTACAAGAATGAATATAATTTTTGAATTTATTGGAGGATTGGTATAGTTTAAAAATATCTGAGCAAAGTTAATTTATATCAGGTCTTAAACAATAATGGAATTTCTATGCTGGGTATTAATGATTGCTCTAGACTGTATTTACTTGGGTTATAGTGGTCAGTGCAATCTGTAAGATAAATGCTCTTTAGAACAAGGGGAAATAAGTATTAGGAAGAGATGAAGAGAAGAAGAATCTAATGCTCATTTGGAAATGAAATGGAAATTAAAACAAGGCACAAAGCAGCACCATTGCTTTCACAAATACAATGTGGAGGCTTATTGGGTTTGGGTTGCATGGTAGTAAATTTTTTAAGCATGGTGGAAACACTTTAAAATATTTCTTCTTCTTGACAAATCAAAATTTGTACTTTTTCCTTCTTTTTGTTGATTTCAAATTCCAGGTAGTTAATGCATTTCTCTTTAGTTTCCTGCACTATCTACAGTTGTTCTTGGGTATTTCATGACCTATCTGCTATAATCATTCAGAAACATTACGTTGCCAGAAAGCCTACTCTTGAAGTGCCCTTTACTGGTTTTGCTTTGTGTTTTTCCTTATTCCCATTTATAGACATAAAAACTGACATTTAATACACATCTAAACTTGTGTTTCCCTACTCCTTTTGAAATTGGGTTTCAGTTTTGCTTTTTAGCTAATGGTGTTTTGTTTGGTACACCAAAATAATTCTTCTGTCCATTAATCATTCAGTTAAGTGTTCCTTTTAATATGCAAAATGTGGAAAGCTCTCTGCATTTCTTAGCATAGCATTTCTTTCTTTTTTCTGAAACTGGCAAAAGGAGAATCAATAGAGATTATTATGCTTCAGAATCAGTATGATCAAGAATGTCATATTTTAAATATTGCATGGTCTGAATTATTAAGCTAGTTGCCATAGTTGGTTTGTTGGAGTATTACATATGTTTTTGAAATGAATTTGCTGTGAAAATCAAGTTTATTTGCTTCACTGTCTTGAATATTATCATTATACTTCAGTTTCTGTGATTCTTCCTGAATGCAATGATTCAGGTATGTTGATAAATTTATTGTTGTTGTAGCTTTAGCTTAAGGGATCAAAATGTTACTGGATAGCACAGTAAATCTTCTGCAATAAATGAATGGATAACTTAGATATTTGTTTTGAAATTAATATGCATGTTTTCTTCTTGTTGAATGATATATTTTAACCCAGACCTTGATAGATTATGTACTTGGATGCTGTAGAATGATGGAAAAGGACTCATCCAATCCATTTACTCAGGATTAAGGCTTTGTTGAACTACATTGAGTCATACATGATTCTCTTATCGTCTCTTCTTTTATGAATTTCAGGAGTTGCCATGTCCATCTGAGAATGTTACAACTGTGTTCATCATAGGCTTTGTTGCTAGAATTTGGCTTGTTTTCAACATTACTGGACTGTATGGTATTATATGATGTGCTTTTATCATTGGAAGTGGGTGACTCGGTGCTACATTAATGGGTTTTGAAAAATGCTTTTAGTAAATTTGAATAGTCTATTTAAAGTGAACATTTAGCTGAGACCTTCTGATTGCCTTACTAATTTTTTAGTATTACTTAAATGAAGGTGTTAGACAACTTCATTTAATGCTCTGTAATATCATGATCTATTGGCAGGGTTGTGGACAATATTGATCAATAGCATCCATTTATTTTTTTTTTACGTTTTTGGGACATACAAAACAACCCCCAAACCCCCCCTACCAACATTGAAGTAGACGGAGCTCCTTGGCGTGTTTTGGGTATTGTAACTTTTTTTTTTTTTTTTTTTTGCAGAACAAGTAAATTCTTAATTGTCTTGTTAAAATTGTGTTTGTCTTGTGATGTTCTTCATGTGAAACCTGGAAAAGGAGCAGCATTTGTGAGGACCAGATGGCCAATTACATTACGGGAAACACTGTTGGAAAACTTTTCGAGCTGGAAGTTCGGTAATTTCTTTTAGCTGCAGATTCTAGTTCAATTGGGTTCAGTGGCTAAAATTTTGACTAAACAAAATATCTGTGGCATTGCTTGTGCTTTTATAAGTTAACATAGAACAGCGCTGGAAAGAATAAGTGTATTAATTTTTTTTATTCTAAGCTTCAAGTTTTAGTAGACTTGAAATCACAACTGCACTTGTAAGATGGATGATCGAACTTACATAACCAGGAACTAGAAACTGGGTCATTATCGTTTTCTTTTGTTGGTTTAAGACTGGTAAAACATTGTGGTGCATTGCTCCAGTATAATGTATAGAAATTTTATCTGGTGTTGTCGAATGTTTCGGCATAGTCATAGATAACAGATTTGATGATTACTGGAGGCTGCTCAGTGCTCACTATTTTACATTGCATCTAACTGGCACAAGGGCACCCAATTTTTTATCTCTATAATAAATAAGGGAGAGATGTTGTGTATGAAGATTTGAAATGACAAATGAGAATCCATTAGTGTTGTCATCTTTTGATGTGGCAGTGCTCTTTTAACCATTTTATTGTGTATTGAAATTGTTGAATCTTTATGTGCCTTTGTGTGTGTGATTTTTCCCAGATTGAAGAGGCAGATGTATTCAAGGAAACCAAGCAATTCACTACAAAGATGTGTCCAGTTTGTCTTTATGGACCTGGTATTGTTTATATTCATTCTATAATTTGCTGTAACATCCATCTTTTCTTGCTCAGGAAAAACAATACTTGCCACTTTTTTCTGCATTATTGTGTTTGATGAACTGAGCTATCCTTTCAGGACAGTTGGAATCAATTTCATCTTAAAGGAATATAGCTGACGCAATAACGCGATTCAATTTTTTTAAAGTCACAAGCAATACATTTTGTTTTTACTATGTTTATACTTTTTTATTCCTAATTTGGAATGCCATGTTTTCACAGAACACGTTTGAAGAAACTCGTCTTAACGAGAAAGATGTCGGGGATAAGACAAAGTGGCTGAAAGAAGGAATGGATTGCAATTTGCTATTTTGGAATGGAAAGTAATCTTTTTGTTCTGTTTTTAATTTTTGCATTGAGTTGTCAATACTTACATCCTTTATATTTCAGATGCATATGCTTACGTTCACATGGGTAGTGACATTGTTCAGTCCATGGTAATTGGGCACTGCCATTGTCGATTCTGTTTAACTGACTGCTTATTGATATGCTTGCAGGTTATTGATTTGAACCCAATCACGGTTAAGCTGACTGTGGCTGATGTTGATCCTGGCCTTAAAGGTGATACAGCTCAAGGTAATATGTTTTTTCTTCTCTGGAAAAATTGGAAGCCCTGATTGATTATCTTACTGGTGTAAATGACGTTTACATTGATTCACGACCGCTGGAGCCATGAACATAGATAGTGTGGCCGCTGGATGCTGCATTGCGCTAAATGGATCATATTAAAATATAGAGTCCGCTGATGGAAATCATTTAAGAGCTCATGAAGTTGGGTGCTAAATGCAGGCATTTGATTGGTTTCAGCAGGCTGCATAAACGATGAACACCAAATAATAGTTAATTTGGCTGTTGAAGAAATAAAGTCGCTTCACTGCATTTTCTTTCATCATGAAAGATTGGGAAAAGTTATTGCCTATTGTTTGTTCGTGATATATTACCAAAGGAATATGGATTCCTGTCTGCAATTTCTTTGAAAAAATGATTTTTTGAATGGTTTGCTTATTGAAATTTCAAATTCTATGGCAGGTGGGTCCAAACCGCAACTCTGATACTGGACTGTCGTCATGTTCCATTTTTTTTGTGAATATAGGTGTGAAATATTGGTGGACACAAGACAGGGCAATACATGAGCCGTGCATAATTCTAAAGCTTTTGGAGATTCTTTCATCACCAATATTTTTGTCCTTTGCTATCAGTTAGAAGGATTTTCTATGTTCATTGATGCTAGAGATGTACTCAGGCTTAGATAGCGAAAGAGTACAAAGCTTTTTCCTGTTTTAAATATTTAACTTGTCCATGTGTATTTATTGGAACTCTCGTTGGATATAGTGCTTTTGTACCAGACCAGAGAAATTGTATTGTTCTCAGAAATGAAATGAAATGAAATAACTCAGTTTGGGAAAAGTTGCTCAGCTCGGCTGGAATAACTAATTAATTGCATTATTCAAAGTTTCTTGGGTGAAGTATATGCTAAATCCAAGTCAATATCACAATGCTTCTGCAAAAGAATTCCCAGAATTAGGCAACTAATTTATTGATTGATCAATCAGATAAATACAGTTCTTGAACTGAACAGCTTTCTTCGAATTCTTAGGGCACCCGATGAGGCAATACACCTTGCTTCAATGCAGCAGCACCATAGACAATGCAGGCTCCTGAAATCTTCCTGTTGGTTTAACTTCTTAATCAGAATTTCATAGGATGTTCTACTTGGGATCTTGCCTTGTTCATTCATGAGAAGCACGACCAGTAATGCATCGTCTACCTTCCCCTCGGGCAAAATGCTTGAATCACATTATTAAGTATCGTCCGGGGAACATACCCCATTCTAACCATATGCTGCAGATGGATCAACCTCATCAGTTTTCTTCCCACCCCAAAGAGCTCTAATTACCATGCCATAGGTACCAGGTCCATGATGAAATTCATTTTCTCAAACACTTGATAGGCATCTTCCAACAAGTCTTTTTTTCTTCCCATGATTTCATGCATAACCTCTAAGCAAAGTGTTCATCATCCTCTCATCACTTCAATCCAAATCAACCATTCCTTAAATACTTAGTGCTGCCCTTGTTTCTCCCCATCTCAATAGCCATGTACAAGGTGCTATAACTAATAGTCAGGAACACAATTCCTCTCCTTCATAAGCTCAACACACTAATACCCTCCATTGCCTGCCCTCCTTACAATACCCATTAAAGAGTGTTAAAAGTGGCCACACTTGGTTTCAATCCCCTCTCCACAGCTTCATTAAGCAGCTCCATTGCCTCATTAGACCTACCCACTTTACAAAACCATCCATAACAATTGTGTATGAATAAATATCAGGTTTTATCAAACCCTTCTTAATATTCACCAACATTTCATAGCTTCCCTCCACCCTTCCCACATAACACAACCCTTTATCACAATTATAAGTCTGAATACTAGGTTTGCACCAACTCTACCCATTACTTCAAACCTCAAAAGCTTTCTGCAACCTGCCACTTGTGCATAATGAGTTTTAAAATGGTGAAAGTTGCAATTTGGACAAAACCCTTTCTCAACCATGTAGTTTAGAACCTGTCCTCTTAACCAAATTGTTTTTCTTGCAATGACACCTCAGCATGAGGGAAAATTTCCAAGAATCTGGCGCCAACCCTAGAGATGGTATT